GAATACATGAAAAATGGTTAAACATTACTGTCCATCAGAGAAATGCAAATCAAAGCAACATTGAGATTCCATCCCACTCCAAAAAGAATGGCTATCATCAAGAAATGAAATAAGTGTTGACAGGGAAAAATGAACTCTTTTACATCGCTGATAGTAATGGAAATTAGTACAACCATTATGACAATTAGTAGGGAGATTCCTCAAAAAAACTGAAACTAGAAATTCCATTCAATGCAGCTATTCCTTTTCTAGATATCTTCCTAAAAGCATTAAGATATTGTATTACAGTAATACATGCATATCCATGTATATAGAAGCATAATTCACAATAGCTAAATTTTTGAAACATGCCCATCAATAAATAAATTGATTAAGAAAATGTGTCATTTATACACAATGAAGTACTACTATGTCATAAAGAAGAATAAACTAGAGTCATTTGTAGGAAAAGGGATTCACCTTGAGACAATAATGTTCGGTGAAATAAATCAAATGCACAAGCTTAAATATGGCAGACTTGGTTGTCTCTTCACTCTGTACATTATTTCCTTTGGTGTGCAGATGCATAAGTTTAAATATCATTTCTCTTATATGAGATATCAAAAATATAAATACAGAGCAAAATAAAAGATGGATAATGAGAAATAGGGAGGCAGATCTCTTGCAGATGGGAAATAGATCAACAGATAGAGGAAGGGAGAAAGGCAGAAAAGAGAGGGAAGAGGATTTAAAAATTAGAAGTAACATGCTTTGTGTACATATACCAGCTCCTCACAAGGAATTTTAACATGATGTCTTAAAATTTTATACTAACAAAAATGTATAAAAATTGAAACAAAAAAAAAGTAATAGCCAGAAATCACTTTGTTTCTTGTGATCTCAACTGTGAATGGAATGTAATAAAAATACTACCTGATTGGGTTAGCAATGAGGTTTCATTGTTTGTATGTAAAGTGCTTTGGAGAGTACCTAGCACATAATGATCATTTCATCCTACTTCACCCAATATTTTAAGGTTCTGACATTCAGCTATTTTCAGTAATAGATGGTAGTAAGACAGAATAGCCCTTTCCAACGAGTAAGCCACATATTAGGAACTGAAGGAAAAATTTCCTGCAGTGCAGCAGAGATTTGATATAGATACAAGGGAGAAACATGACTATGAAGATATGAAGCAATTTCTGTTACTGTTGGAGGTAATGACAATACTAAAGAAGAAATGGAAAATAAAAGATGGCTCTGGAAATGGAATTTGTTGGTGAAACACTGGAGGAATTAAAAGAAAACTGAAAAATTTTAGAGAGTCTAGTACAAAAAGAAAAGAAATCTAATAAAGTTGTGGCTATAAATCAAGCACTCAATGAGACTTAAATTTAGTTGACAAACATCTACAGAAAAATTACTCATCACTCAATTACAGTGCTACTGAGCAGAGAGAAAAGAAATGAAAACACTGATCTACCAAGAAGGTGGGGGCAGTGGTAGAGATTTGCCCCAGCAAGGATGAGTACCTCTTTATTGACATCATTTAGAATTGCCAGGGCTTGATGATAATAAAATGTTGGCCTGTCCTCTATGATAGCTATTAATTTCATTACTTCCCTACAGATAATTTACACAGAACTCAATGCAGACTGTTCACTGCCCCTGCTTGTGAATCTACTGACATCAGTTGAGATCTTTAAGGGTCATGCAGGGTACTAAGAAACCACTTAGGTGGAATAGTCATAGTTGGAAGCATTACATAGGAACCTAGGAACCACTCCTTCTATGAATCTTCACAATAAATTGTAGTTGATATAAATATTTAGATGTACAAAGTAACATTACTTCAAAATAAAAAATCAAACCCCAAACTAGAAACTACAGGTAAATTTTTATCCTACCTAATGTTGAACAGATCACTTTAAAAACTAGCAAGATTATCAGAATTAGCAAGTAAGAAAGCATCATGAGCAGTTAAATTTAAATTTTGGATAAATAATGAAAATAATTGTATTACAATTGTATCCAAAATATTATGTGAAGATACTTATACTAAAATTATTGTGATATAAAATTCAAATTTGATACAATATACTATATTTTCCAGTGAACTTATCAAAATATGGCAAAACCCATATAATGGGATTTTTATTTAACCAGTATCAACTGGGCTTCTCCCGTGTGTACCAGAACAATGTCAAGCACTGAAGCAGAGGAAGCTTAAATTTCTATGCCTCTAATTTTCTCCAGTTCCCTGTTTGGGGCTACAGGAATGTATATGCTTTTGTACAAGTTTTGTAACTAAGATATTTTGGCTGTAGATAGTTCAGACCACTATTTCTAGTCAGTCTGATTTTCATTCTATAATACCTTTCCTGTACGGTGATGCAGTAGCTACACATACTTTGTAATTCTTCTGTGGGGAACTTATTTGGGAATACTCTCAATTTGTGTTAGATGGGTTATAACTTTGCAGTTTGCCATCCCTTCTGAGTTGAGTTCCATTGTATTAGCCATCTTGATGTGGCTATTAATTCCAGGAACACTCATATCATCGTGTGCATTCATCTTGCCAGAGTTTGTCTCATGATCTGAAAATGCCTGCGGCTCTCCGCACTGGACATATATGCATAGAGGAGAAAAAGTGAGAGTTGAAATGGATGCAGAGAGAGGATAGCATGCAATAAGTTCTTTAAAATTAGAAAACTTCTAAATGACTGAAAGAAAATTGACATTTTCCCAGATTTGATAGCAATTCTAAAAATGTATGTGACATCAACAATAATAATTATGGAGCAAAAAAAAACCCTTTTCTAAACTATTACAATATAAAACACATTTTAACTGACACTGTATATTTTTTCATTTTTTACTCCTCTCTAATGAAAATTATAATACAAAATTTTTATTTACTATTAATTAAGGATTATGCAGTGTCTTGGTTACTTTTCTCTCGTTCCTGGGACAAAATACCTGATGCCCAAAATTAAGGAAGGGAAGGTTTATTACGCTTACAGTTTGTGGAGGTTTCAGTCTGTATTTGGCAGATTACAAGGCAGAGTGGCACATGGCAAAGAGCTACAGCTCAGGGCGGCAGAACACAGCTAAGCTGCAAGCACACACCAGGGCGGAATGGGGGAGGAATGTCCTCAAACACTCTTTTCCTCTCCTTACATATGCAAACTATCCACCCCAAGGTGGGTGTAGCTCTCTCACCCACAATCATTCAACTCTAATAGCCTGCCCCATGGTCACATGAGGCTTTGGAGGGGACACACAGACATAAACCATAACATGCAGCAAAAATGTTTAGACAATTCATTATTATAAATTTTTATTTTCTGTTATTTGTAAGTTTCTTACACAGTATAGTTCAGTTGTACTTTTTGTTTTCATTTTGAATTTAAAAACTTTTCATGCATCAATTTATGTTTTTAAGAAGTGCAGCTTAATTGTAGAAGCTCCAGGCTTGCAAAACCTGGATCTATCTTTAAAAACAGTACCAGACACAGCCACTGTTAATTGCCATCATTTTGTTCTGAAACCCTGTATCATTTTTATTGTTTTTGCTTTGTTTTGGTTTCGTTTATGTTGTTGGTATTTTACTACTGTACTTTTTTATTATTCTCTTTAAAATAAAAAAATAGATTTAAAGAAATTAGCACAGAGTTCAGAAAACAGCCAATAAATAAAATATGTAAGTGAAGTAAATAGGGATGGTGATAATTGGTATGGAAGGAAAAAACAAGAAAGGAAGATAAGGAATTCTGGATGAACAGAGGTGCAGTTCTAAATACAGCAGACTCTAGGAAAGCCTCATAAGAAGAAAACATTTGACTAAAGATGTTGAGGGAGTAGCCCCCACAAATACAGAGGAAGTGGAGACCACTGGTAGTAACTCACTAAGCCATCAGTGTCCAGGGCAAAGCATTGAGTTCCACATGGGGGGAGCACAGGAGGGGATAATTAGAAGAGGAGATGGGTGTGGAGGAAGACTTTATAGGCAAAGCTTGTGTAATATTGGGACTGTTGTGGATTTGTTAAAAGTCAGACAACTAGAATATTCCAAAAAGGAAACATGAACTGACATAATTTAGAATTATTTTAGCTGCCAGGTTGTACAGAGGCAAGTGGAGAAAGGTAATTTAGGAAGCAATTGATTCACCTAAGAGATGCTAGAATTTTGTCTGACTGGTGAAAAGAGCTTTCACACGGGATCCCTTTTGGAGCCAGTGAGAAGATTTAATAAATGAGGTAATGTAGGAATCAAGTTGTAGTTTACTATGATAAGAAAGATCATGGAGAAGTGAGCTTTGAAGAGAGATCAAACCCTTTGAATTTGAGAAGTTATTTGGATATCTCATGAAAAATATCAAGTAAGCAGTTAACTGTGAGCTTGGAATTCAGGGGAGAGGTCTAAATTAGATATGCAGATGTCTAAACCAATGAAAACTAGAAGTGATCACCAAAGGAGTGAAAGTAAGTAAAGGAAAATATTCAAGGACTCAGCCTGGGCCCTTGATGCCTAAGAGGTTGGAGAGACGATGTGGAAACTACAGAGCAGACTGACAAGGAACTCTCAGCGATGTGAGACAAAAAGCCATACGATGTCTTGTCCAAGAAGCCTAGTAAAGAAAGGGTGGGTAAGAGCACATAGCTTGGCCAGAGGATGCTTCAATCAAATGAGATAAAATCTGACCTTTGAATTTGGCAAAAGGGAATCCATTGATGATCTTCAGAAAAGCAGTATTCATGAATTTGGGAAACAAAAGGCCTCGTTTAGATGATTTCAAAGAGAGTGGGAGAACATGAAGAGGAATTTAGACAACTCATTGAGTTGATAATGTATTTACTTGTGTAATTTGATAGAAAAGTGTGAGGAGAATCTTTTTTTTACATAGATGACATGTCAAACTGTTCAAATATTAATGAGAATTGACCAGTAGTGAGAGAAACATTTATAAGTAAGAAATATTTTACTAAATAAAAAATTGACTATGACTACCTATTGGAAATTTATTTATTGAGTACTTAGTATAAAGCAAGGTGCTATGTACTTTGCAGAACAACTTTATTACATTTGGTTTTTTTTTGTATTAGTTTCTCTAAATTTTTCCATTTTTCTTTCAGCTCCTGTAATATATTTCACCAACCAATTCCATTTCCAGAGCCATATTTTATTTTCCATTTCCTTCTTCAGGATTGTCATTATCTTCAACAGTAATACAAATTGCTTCAAATCTTCATAGATTTTGGCTGGGTCCTTGTAAATCTCTCTGAGCAGTCTTCTTTGAAACAAACAAAACAAAAACAACAAACATTAAAAGACAGTTAACAATCATTTTAAGGGGCAGCAGGTTCTTCCTACCTCCCACAAACACAGGTGATTACCCCTGAATTATTTGTCTACCAACAAATAAGACCTTCTCTTCCTAGTTTTTCCACCTAGTATAATTTCTAAATCCAAGGCATTACATTTAAATACATGAATAGGAATACATAATAATCTTATGATATTTTCCAGTAGAAAATAAGATAAATTTAAGTTTTGGTAAAATCTTAATCTTCAGTTAGCTATTTGTTATATTCCATAAACATGGGTAATATTTGAAAACTAAGGCGAAAAAAACATAACATTCCAATATGAAATTCACCTTGAAAATAAACTCTAATCCCTTGGAGAGGAAACTACATACACCTTCTATGTTTTTTTTTTCTACAAACAATCATCATTTTTCAAGAATTATAATGAATCTTTCTAGCAATCCTTGGTGCTGTTGAATGATAAGCATATCTATTTCTATACATTTTTGGATATGTTTAGCTCTATTTGAACAAATTACATAAGCTTATAGAGTCATTCCATTTTCTTTTCCCATTAAAATTTAGCTTTGCTTATGTCATCTCTGATATTAGTAATCATATTTTCAATAGAATTTTGAGCCACATTATTTTGATTTCAATGCACAAATAAGCAATATAACCATTCTGGCTGCATTATAATCTTCCTTTCTTTAATTATTATTCCTTAGAATACTGGCTTCCTAGTTTATGGGCTTTAAAATATATTCCTATTTTCTATTCTGAAGCAGTTCCTTTTAGTTGAGAAGGAAAGGGCACCTACATATATGCCATTCTTTTGAAACTGTACTTTATCATTTCAATGGTCATTGTATCTAACCCATTAGGTATTGGAATATGATATTGTGCTATCATAAAAGAAACAGAATTTTAGAACTCCACAGAGCTGAATATAAATCAGCAAGTAGCTTGAATTTAGAATCAAATATTAGAAACTGTAGGAACTCTGAAAAAGTGCTTTCATTTTGTTATATTTGGATGCTATGGAAATATTCAGATCTATTTGGGGCTTCTTCTTATGAAGGAGATATGAATCACTCTATGATGTCCAGGTATTTCGAGTTAATAAGTAATCACTGTGTTCTTATAACAATCTTATGCCAAACCAGATAGGCAAATAGGCTTAAACTGTAGTGCCAATTCTCATGCCTTGGTAGGCCTGACTAGGAATTTGTATGGCATTCTGTTGGCAGCAAGAAAGAGCTCCATGTGCAACAGTGAGGTCTGCAAGGGATATAGAGGAAGATGGAGCCCACATGTTAATCTCCTGGGACTAGATAGCACCCAAAGAGTCATGGCAGTTCAGCTCAGACATGTGCTCTGTCCCTAAATACCTCACAATCACTTGTTTTGAATTTCATTTTCTTTGCTGTTTAACAACAGCTATTTTTTAAAAGTTGTTTTAAAATATAAGTTAATAAATATTTGTTTTGGTTTTTATACCAAACACCTAATAAATGTTGTTTGAATGTGAGTTTATGTTTACAGGTAAAAAGAGACTGAATGATTTAGCAAATATATATGCACAAAGCACCACAGTAGTTATAAAATTAAGAAAGAGTGATTTTTTTTTTTTTTGCAGTGCCGAGCATTGAACCAAAGGTCTTGCCCAAAGTTTTAAACACTTTCTATAGAAGTCTTTAAAATATCTATAGACCTTTGTCTGATCCACTGAGGAAGTAGGGGGAGGGGCGAATAGACTCTAGAATTAGGGATTCTTTGTTAATTTTCATGTGTACACATACAGCTACCACACACTAGCAACACACACTATATAGTGTTAGATACCAAAGAAGTTAACATTATGCTATCTCAAAATATGCCAAACTGGTGTATTGGTTCTTTCAAGCTGAAATCACTGGAGGACTTGTAACTTTACAAACAGCTGTCTCACATGACTTTCCCTCTATGCAGCAAGCAATAAATATCCTGTCAGGAAGGGCGAGTAAACACCCTGAAGTAGCCTTTATTTTCCACTGGCTTTTATCTCCTTCCCATACAAGCTCTTCATAACATCCCTAGAATGTCACTTTCTTTTATTCTTCAAAAAATGTATTATTTGTTTAAAAGGTATTTAAGCCTCATGCTTCAGTCATTTCTTTAGACTTCACTCTCTTGTAAAGATCCCCATGTACATATAAAAATAATAAAACTTGTGTGCCTTTCTCTTATCAATCAGCTCTTTATTAACATAGTTCTTAGCTCTAGCAAAAGAGCACACATAAGACTTAAGGGAGGAACTTTAGGTCTGTCCCTTGGCATAATATCATAATTGTTGAACATTTTATTTTTATATTATATGTACAACCATACACATACACAATTATCCACACTGTATAGATGAAAAATTGAGGCTTAATAGGACAGTAACTTACCTGAGATGTCAGGTACTACCATAATAGCAAAACCAGCACTTAAACCTAAGTCTGTCTGTCTACAGAGCTGAAACTCTAAATTATCATGTAAATGATTCAGCACTCACACAGCTACTCAGGTACAAGTAAATAGGTGACAGGTGACTATTTTCAGGAACATCCTCTAACAACTTTGCACGCAGGAGAGGTAAGTCTGGAGGAAGGATTCCGTGTTTGTGGAGTATGGTTCATCAGACACTCCTGTGACTTCCGCAGCCCAGAAGACCTGGATTGCTGGGCCCATGTTCCTGATGACTAACGAATACTACTTCCTGTTCCAGGCTATTTACCTTTTTAAGATCACACTGGGTGTGTGAATGAAAGACTACTTCCTTCCTAGGACTCAAGTGTACTCAAATACATGTTGTTTGTGATGAGTCTTCCATTAACTTGATCCCAGAGTTGGTCCACTCCTTTCTACCTTGCTGTTTCTCTTTAACCCAAAAGAGTTACTTTTTGTTCATATAATTCTCCATTTTTTTTCTTAATTTATCGTTTCCCCTTCTTCTTTTCCCCTTTAGAGAAATACTTTTCTTTCCAAATATATAAATTATACATCATTACTTAAAATCATATATTCTACATTCTTCATGAATGTTTGTCTGTAGCTTTAATTAAAGTAGCGTTACCAGATGACACAACATGAAATTTTTTAAAGCTTCTGAAATGTGATGCCAAATTGCTCTGTAGAAATGCTGGATTTATTGCTTTGCTAGGAACCATGCCTATGACCACTGGTTCTGCTGTACCCACACCAGCATCACATTCAAATTTAAAAGATATTCTTTCTAATTTGAGGAATGTAAATATCATCATTTTTGTATTTGCATTAATTTGAATCATACATGCATATGAGTACTTTTGCACATTTATTTTCATATTTATCTTTCTTATATTGTTTATGACATCTAATTTTAAAAATCAGAATTAAAATTTGTCTTAATTATTCATGATATCTTTACATTCAAGATCATTAATAGTAAATATAATTTATAAATTATATTTTAGTATAAAAATGTAAAATATACATACATTAAGTATATAAATATATAAATATAAGATTATCTTTATTTGAAAACATAGATCAAATCAAATATCTACAATCTACCTAATTTATCAAGCATCGTAGCTTGGTAACACAGTACACAAAAAGATAAAGTGTTCTGAGATCTCACGGCTTACTGGAAGCTGTGCCATACTGTCCCTGCCCAGCAGCAGAGGACCATACCACATATGACTAATCTGGGAAAAAACTGAAATTTGAGGTACAATTTCTACGCAATGTGTATCACTTTTGAGGTATCATAATGTCAAAAAATCTAAGTCAAACCATGTCAATCAAGGACCAGAGCGTTATACACGGTTGATGAAGCACCCACTACCAAAGAAGCAGAGAGCAAGTTGATTCAGGAAGTGGGTGGCAGGCAATTAAAGGTGCTCTGGAGAGATGGCAGTGCTGAGGTTAACTGGCATTGATTGCTGAGGGGAAATTTTAAAAAACTTTGTCACTCTTCAGGACAGAGTTGATCTGAAGTATGTACCAGCTCCTGTTAGTCCTTTGTTGAAGGCTTCTGGAGGAGAACGGTTATTACTTCTCAGCCACCTTACTGACTGAGCAAAGTGAGCCCTCTACCAAAGTTATGCAGATAAAGGCAGTTGGAATAGTGCTTGCATCTACTCAGATGGTCAGCCCAAGGGACAAGGACTATGCGTCAATTTGTAGCTTCCTTGTTTTCTTCATGTGCTGCTTGTGTTAAATTTCTATCCTGTCCAAGTATGCAGGCATCTCTCTCTCCATCATATAACATTCATTTTCTGTGATTATACCTCTGTCTTTTTCCATATGAAATTTATATAGATATTCTTTATCTCTTGGCAAATCTTTTTCTACTCTCTAGTTAGAATAACACTGTTTGAGTGTTCACAACATGCTGATTAGTGTTACATAGTTTACATGGATTGTTTCATTTTATCAATAATTCCTTGACAAACTTACTGTTCTCTCCTCCAGTCTCCACCTGGGTAAACTGAGACTTGGAGATCAAATAAGCTTTCAAACCATCATCAAACCCAACAATCTACTCTTAGTCTTACTCTTCAACAGTGCTCCGTGTGTCTTTCCTAACTTGGAGTATATCCTCCTTACCTTCACCCCTGATTCTCTGATGTACTGATAGATAGCTAGATAGCTAGATAGCTGGATGGACAGACAGATAGATGATAGATAGATAGATAGATAGACAGATTGTAGATAAATAGATAGATGATAGATAGATAGACAGATAGATTGCAGATAAATAGGTAGATAGATGATAGATAGATAGATTCATATATGTGCCTATAGACACATACAGACAAACATATGAGCACACAGTACACACTTATAAAGCTTTAAGGTCTCTTTTATCCTCCAATTCTGTCTCTTCCTTGTCATTCTTTAACCTTCAGTGAACTGAATTACTGCCAATCTCTTCCTTTTCTGTTGTTTTATGAGAATTACCACCCCCAAACTA